GCGGCACCCCCCAGAATTCTTAATAGGAGTGGCCATATGGTAGCCTGTTGTGCCAGACCCAATTCACAAAACATGAATGGGTCTGAGTGTACATTTCCTCTATTCCCGAGGGGCAGTATCAACGGCTGTCACTCAAAGTGCCCCTTCACGCAACTGGAAAGACGGAAAACCAATCAGAGTAAACGAAATGTGTGACGTGATTTTCCCCGTTAAAGGGTTTTTTGGGGGAGTTTTTCCTTATCTGCTGTGAGGGTCCAAAGGACAGAGGGATGTTGTATGCTGTAAAGCCCTGTGAGGCAAATTGTGATTTGTGATATTGGGCTTTATAAATAAAATTGATTGATTGAATTGATTGACGTAGGCTAGCACAATGCCACTGTAAACAGACCAGCAAGCTGCAGTGGAGATGAGCTGTGATGATGTCTGGGAAAGAGCGTTGCCGTCTTTGCGGATTTCCTCTTCACTGTGGACTCATGGCTGTGATTCCCAGCTTGGTCACGTCCCTGACCTGCTCCTCCATGAGAGCAACTAGCGGACAAACAACAATAGCCACTGGGTTTTCACTGAGCCATCTTTTTCCCGATCAACAGAGCCAGTTGGTAAATTAAATTTTTACCAAACTCCGTAGGAAGGACGGCAAACACATCCTTTTTTTCAATAAAGGCTTTCAGTGCAGCCGTTTGCTGTGCTTTTAAAGAAAATATACATTTCAGTTCGTTCAACACATTTACCATCGCAGTTTCAAAATCAGTAGCCATGTTGGTTGTTTACGAAATGCATCCACTCCACTCCTTGTCCCTCCTGTTCTGATTATGTGATTTCAAATAACCCACCGCAAAGTAATAAACAGTTGTGATTGGCCACAACGCAGAATGCACCTTAATGACTGCATGGCCAGACTGATCTGCGGAGCGAAATAGAATATGAGCTCACGAGATTAGGATGGTTTCACCAGGCTAGCCATAAGGGGCCACTGAAAATCTGGGTGGCACACCAAAACCAAAACTCATAACTGAATTTTAGAAATTGACTTGTAGTTTTAGTGTATATGTCAGTTGAAAACTATGTCAATTTGAGAGTTAAATAATGGCATACTGATGTGCTTTGGATTCTTATTTTACAGTTAATGTTACTAATTATCTGATGTGCACAGACTATATGGGTACAGTTAATATTTTAAGTGCCATGACAATCCTGTTTTAATGTGTCATGTGTCTATACATTTTAGGTGATTCATTGTCCTTCAAATAAGCTGGTTGTCCTTTTCCTTAAAAAGAAGATACAGCTTTAGGAAAAAGATACAGCTTTAATTTGAAGAAGTACATTGGTTGTAAGGAACAAAACATTTACTGGAAAGTCTTCTCAACTTTAGGGGAGATTCCCATATAACCCAATTTCATTCAGATATCTTGAGGTGAGAGTTCAAGGGACCCTTTTAAAAATGGCTGTGCCACTTGTTTCCTTGACAGATTTAACCTTAACTTTAAAGCATTGTTGGCCCCCTCCCTGAAAAGCTATACCAATGTGGTTGGTACTGATGGATGCCTGAGGTCATCTAGTTTCACAAGATATTACTACCTTCATGCTAACCACAGCCTCTCCACAGGTATGTTGGCATCAAATTATTTTCACCAGGGGTGGCCAGCAATTGTATCGGGTGGAGCCCCCTGGCCCCCTCTTGGGGGCACCACTGGTGCCATGGATGCTGTGGTCAAGAATGGAGAAAAACATTGTTACAGATTTAAATACATTATAATAGTTTTCCTCTCTTTTGTTTTGTTATTAAGTTTTACCTCAGGTTAAAATATTTGTAAGTCCTCTGTGCAACAATGCAAATGAACAACACATAAAATAGTTTTTATTTTTTGAATGTAGTGCTTTGTATCTTTGGCTGTCAGCTGTAGGCAGAGTGATTAGAATACAGGATCTACTATTGTATATTCCTGTATGAGTGACCCGTGCTGTTTGGATGATCATCTATGTAGAACTCAGAAGATGAAAGGGAGGTAGTTAAGAGCAGGTGGGACATGTCTGGCAGACAGGTTCCATCACAGATGTTTGATTAAATTAGGCCCACATCAGGAACCACCGGGATATGTCAGCCAGTAGTAGAAAAATTATTTTATGAAGTGCAATCCTTCATTTGCTCTCTGTTATTACTCCTCAGCCTTTTTCCTCAATTCCTGATTGTTGTGGGAGTCCACATGATGAGAGTGATTATGATACTGAATCCCAGAATTAAAGCAAAACTTAATTACTGTGTACACTCAGCTGTGGAAAGGTCAATAAACTATACAGGGTACTCCTGGACTCTCAAATGAATATCTGTTGTCAGCTAATTGGAGAATGCGATCAAATATTCAAGACTTCTGAGTGTTTGTTGATATGATTAAACTCTGAGCAGCAATGATTGAGGAAGTTCTGTCCAGCTTTTATTAATATAAATATTTATTTGCAATAATGGTACAAGTCATATTCATTGAACAAAACAAATAGAAAATGTATGTGTGACCATCTTTTTGATTGGTTTGGATTGCATCCTGTCTCTCATCGTAATTCAGTTTAATTTGAAGTCTGAATTTAATTGAGTCATTCTTGAATTTCAGTCCCTCCTCAGTCAAGTATGAATGAGTAAACTCTGATAGGTTTAACAGGCCACAGTCATTATCACACAGACATATTTGCTTTAATCACACAGGTTTGAAGTACATTTTCAACAGGCTGCTGTCATGGTTGATGCCTCACTTCGTTATTTGTACCTCCGTCTTCATTTCTTGTATCTTCTAAATGATTTACTGCTGCATTTTCCACTTGTGTCACAGCTGTGATCCACTGCAACACAGATGCCTCGGAAGTAGTTGTGTCCATACGAGCAGGATTTTGTGACATCACAAGTAGTTTGTTAGTCTACCATGGTCCACTATGAAACAAGTGTCATGTGGAAACTTGAAAAATCCTGTGCACATACAGTGACATGGGACTTTTTAGTAAGTGCCTTTTCATCAACTTTATTAATGCATATTTTCAATAATGCATAAAAAACTAATTGTAAACTCTTGTAACTCGAAAAAAAGTCCAAATATGGCAAAAACCCACTCAAAATGCAAAAAATGCAATTTAAATGCACAATCGGTATCCCGTGTTTCACCGAAAGTCAACATTATTTAAACTAATGTGTAATTTACATAGAGCCGTAGCGCACTAATGTGACTCACATGACTTAATAACTAGTGAAGGCCAGAATGAAGCTTCATGATCCATTTTCTTTATTTTCTGGAACCTCTAGATTGCGGGTTTTGTTTTTTTTTCACAAGTTTGAAAGAACACTGAATTGCCTTCCTTAAGCCTTCTGAACCCACTTCACTACATGACACACCCACTTCACTACACTTCACTACACGACACAGTCACTTCATTATACGACACACCCACTTTACACTGACTTAACCAGACGAAATACTTACTTCACTACACAAAACACTCACTTTACTACAGGATACACCTACTGCACTACAAGACACATCCACTTCACTACACAAAATATTTACTTTATTATAGCCCTTTTTAAACAGGAATTGTGCAAATTTGCAGGAAAGCCCAATCAGTCTTCTTTCAGCATTGGCAGTATAAAAGCAAAATCAGGGAGTGCAGCAAAATGCCGCCTACCTACTTTTATACGGAATGCGCCTTTTTCTGGGCAATGGGGGCGTAAGCAAGTAACAAAACGTGTAGCTCAGCGTGTGACGTAAACAGTGACGTGGGAGGGAAACCGCGGCTGGTCAGTCCTTCGGCGAATCTCTCGTAAGTCGGCCCGTCCTTCACCGTCACCATCAGCTGACGATTAATGGCCTCTTCCTTTGCGAGGGCAAGGAGGACGCACAATTCCTTGTCTCCCCAGTTGCTCATCTTTACAGTGTCTGTCAGGTTTGCGTTTCCCTCTTGCTACTAGCTGCTCATTCCTGCTATCAGCTGTTTCCTGTTTATCCACCGCTAGTGGGCCGCATGTGCAGCATCATCAACAGCTCCTCCCGTGGCTGAAAGGCGCCTCGTTCTTTTTAAACCAAAAAGGTTCCGCCAATATGTCTACCCTACGAGGCAGAAAATTGGGCACCTCGGATCAACTCGGCAATCCAGCTCTGTGTGTCTAAACGCTCGCAGTTTGCTGGCGAAACGACCCAACATTCGCCGAAAATCTGGCAGTGTAAAAGGGGCTTATGAGACACACCCATTTCATTACAAGACACAGACAATTCACCACACAAAACACTCACATTAATACACAACACACCCAATTTACTACGTGAAACAAAACACTATTCATATAACAGCAGTGAAATGCACATTCATTGGAAACTTTGAAGTAGGAGACATTTTTGTGTATAGTATTAAACTTTTAAACGAATATTTGCGTTTCCATAGATTCTAAATTGTTCAATGAAGGATATGCAAAAGATGTAATTTTAAACATTTTTTCAAATTTTTTTTCAATGATGTGCTGATTTAACTTGTTTTTTTTTTTTTTTTCAAAAACACGAGTCACAGAAAGTGTTGCAATGTTCCACTTGAAGGACATTTAAAGCACTGTGTCAACTTTGTTTGTTGAAATCTCCTATTAATGGAAGCATGGGCTATTTTTGTGCACATGTGAACAACTTGATGATGTCTAATGGACCTCAGCTTACCATGTGCCTGATGATTTCTTGTTATTTATTAGTTGTTTATTTTTCTGGTTTGGTTTTCCCAGCCCATCAATGTATTCAGACCGACAAACTGTCCTTGGCAAGACTTCTCCTCTGTTTGGGCCCACATTTATTCTTTGGTACAGGGCTGCTCTCTCTCATTGTTTCAATGGGAGGTGCTTACACAAAGTGTTCTGCAGCTTGCTGTCCTGTAAATTCTCTTCTTAGCTACTGCTTCTCACATTCATTATATGACCTTTGAATGTTCATTCAGTCCTTCCCCTTTGTGTCTGCATGTGTCTACATGTGTCTCTGTGACAGACTGAGAAGGATCTTTACCATCCCTGGAGAGTGAAACACACAGTGAGATAATGACTCTGGCAGGTAAATGCAGTCACAGCACAAAGTCATTCACCTTGCAGCTCCCCTCCTTTACTGAATATACTGCTCATGATTTCACCGTGGGAATGAAAACAAGAGTGCACTTTTATGATCTGAATCATGTATCTTGTCATTATTATGACTATCATAATAACATAATAAGAATGACTAGTGACTGAGAATGAGAATTACATCATCAGTCTTTGAATACTTGTTAAACATTTAGTTTGACTCAACACAATGTCAAGCATAACAGCACGTGTGTGTGTGTGTGTGTGTGTGTGTGTGTGTGTGTGTGCCCTCAGCCTACAAAGAGAAGGTCAAAGAGCTCCCCCTGGTGTCTCTGTTCTGTGCCTGCCTGAACCCGCAGACTGCAGACAAACCCACATACAAGGCAGAAGGTAAAAACAAATCACAGTCACACGTCTGCTAACAATCATACAAGGAGAAATATGCAGTACTATAGCCAATATAAGTACTAGTCATTTTAGGAAACAGTTTTTCTAAAGCAGAGATATGTAGAAGGGAAGTAAACACTGATTATGTGTTAAAGTCTTTTCCTGTATTAAAAATTCGTTGTGAATGAATAAAATAGATATGTTCATGATTCAACACCACAGATGCAGTGGACCTGGGATGGTGCGTCATCAAAGATGTGGAGGTAATTGAGCTGAACAAACGGACATCTGGCCAGGCCTTCGAGGTCATCCTCAAACCCCCGTCCTTTGACGGAGTGCCAGAGCTCAATGCATCCATGCCGCAGCGCCGCGACCCATCCCTGGAGGAGATCCAGAAGAAGCTGGAGGCTGCTGAGGAGAGGCGAAAGGTGAGGGAAGGGGAGAAGGGGTGGGGTTTTTATATCATCATACCCAAAAGAAACCCAACCAGACAGGCCCTAACCCTAAAGTGTAACCCTAAACTTAGCTATTTGTGGCTCATTCAGGCATTGTCAAACATCTGACAACGCTCTTTGTGGGCAGTGTGATTTATACACTCAGGAGGAAAAAAGGGTGGAAATGGATAAAAGGAAAGAGGGAGGGAGTGTTGGAGTTGATGGACAGGAAGGGAGGAAGCACAAGCAGAGGGAGGGTGGGAAGATGAAAAGAGGGACATGAAAGTACAAGGGCAATCATGAAAGGACACACTCACAATGGCTCATATTCATCACGCAAAGAGGATGGTGGAGAGAGAGAGAGGGGGGAGGGGGTGAGAAGAGAGGAATTATGGCCACGAGGAGAATATGTCCTGCAACACAACGGTCACACAACACCTGCAACATCACATGGTGTCATTAATAATCATTTGTTTATTAAGTGCCTTAAAGATCCTGGAAACAGATTTTCTCAATCTGCTTCCTACTATAAGTCGGAGGCTTCCCCATAACAACACTTTATTCTATAGTCAAAACAGGTATGGCTCTTTCATATAATAGATTTATATATTTCTTCTTTTCTCTGTACGATTTTCACTAGTTTGCTGTGGGCGGGGCTTCGTTTGAAATAGGTTATGTCAATGAAATCACACTATGATGATCCTGATGATCCAGAGTAGCAAAGTTTATGGGCGTTATTTAAACGATATGTAGCTCATTGTCTAAGGTGTATGGTGCAAGTGCATTTTAAACAGTAATGTTACTGCAGCAAATATCATGGGTCATTTAACCCATTTCATCTCAAATTTTTCTCAGACAAAGTATCAAAATCATTTGTCACTGGTAACCCTTTAAAATAATCATTTTCTTTTTTTAATTCTCAAAAAAAAAGTAGGTGAAAACTTGTGTTTAATGTTCGGTCACAATTGTGACGAGTGGGATAATGTGTTGTGTCTACCATTTGTTGACCAAATTAACATCATCTCCAATGCAGTCATCAAAATTCTTATATCATATATCATCTTATATCATATATCCAAGCTCAGTTATGAACACATACAATAAAAACTCTGTCACTGGCAGTCCCCAACATGGCTATTAGAATGCTCTATCGCATTCTAGAGTGACTATTTTACATATCAAAAACTCTTATACATATATCATTGCTTTGTCAGTCGCCTTTTACATTCACATATGACGTGCTAGGTATCCTTCTGCATATGCTGTGACGACTCAGGATGCACTACCAACCCCAGGATGTCAACAAAAACTTGATTGGGTTTAGAAAAAAACATCTTGGTTTGGGACACGGGAAGTGAACACTAAAGCTGCGTTTCCACCAAACACTTTACGTATGGTACCTTTGGAACCAAAAGTAACCCTTCAGACATTGTACCTAGTAGTGATGGCCAAATGAAGCCTCATGAAGCATTTTCTTTATTTTATGAGCCTACTAGATGGTACTTTTTGTTCAACAAAAGGTTGAAAGCACACTGAATTGCCATTCTTTGAGCCTCTCTCTTTAAACCAAGTCTTTAAACCTGATGCCATCTAATGGGCCCAAAAAAATAAAGAAAATGCTTCATGAGGCTTCATTTGGCCATCACTAGTACCTAGACCCTAGACACTGCAAACAATCAATCAATCAATCAATCAATTTTATTTATAAAGCCCAATATCACAAATCACAGTTTGCCTCACAGGGCTTTACAGCATACGACATCCCTCTGTCCTTTGGACCCTCACAGCAGATAAGGAAAAACTCCCCCAAAGAAACCTTTAACGGGGAAAAAAATGGTAGAAACCTCAGGAAGAGCAACTGAGGAGGGATCCCTCTTCCAGGACGGACAGACGTGCAATAGATGTCGTGCAGAACAAATCAACATGATAAATTAACAGTAATCCGTGTGACACATGAGACAGAAAGAGAGACAGAGAGAGAGATGCAGGACAGACGGTAATGACAGTAGCTTACAACAATATCAATTATAGTAATATTATAATTCTAATTACGGCTATTGTGGTACAATATGTTGAAAGTATATATTAATATCTGATAGTATACATATGTGACAATAATCATATGTGTATAATAACAGTAGAAGTATGACTAATGATAACAGCAGCAGCAGGAGGCATCTGGCAGGACCACGGCAGCAGCACAACCACACGAGTCACACCATCCAGGCACCGCTGTGATAGAAGCTAACCTGCGAGACAGTGATCCAGAAAAGGCTCCGGAGAAAAAGCCGAGTTAGTGACATGCAGTACAGCCGAGTTAGCAAGATGTAGTAACAGGACATGAGTGTTAGCAAAGGAGAGAGAGAGAGCGAGAGAGAGAGAAGGAGAGAAGTTGCTTGGTGTATTATAGTAGGTCCCCCAGCAGACTAGACCTAAGTCAGCCTAACTAGGGCCTAGGCTCTGGCTCCTGATCTACTTTTGGTGACTTAATTAAGGGACCACAAGTAACCCTGCATTCTCAGTGTTCTGGTGGGATATTAGGGCACTATGAGCTCTCTAAGATATGAAGGAGCCTGACCATTTAAAGCTTTGTAAGTTAGGAGTAGGATTTTAAATTCAATTCTGGATTTTACAGGGAGCCAGTGCAGAGAAGCTAAAACAGTACTCTTAAATGTGAGGGAAATGGGAAGTTAAAAAAAAACAACTAAAAACTAACTAAACTAACGCTATTAAAAAATAGCGGGTTTGTGCACTTAGTCCTTCTCAGGCAAGCTCCGGGGTTTAGTGTTGCCGTAGCTCGATGCTACGTGACCCTTTTTTTTTTTTTTCAGAGTGAGGATTAGAATATATGCAGTTCACATAATTCGGCCAAAATTAATACAAATAAACGCTTGAAGATCCACTCATTTCTAAAAGTGTATGTCATATAAAAGCTTAAGTAATGGTCAAAGTTGTCATATGGAATATTGGAATATTTAAGGTGTGTTGGTTGAGTCATGTCGTCAGCTTGTGCATTGAGTAACATTACAAGTTAATGTTCCACCTTAAAAATCACGGCAGTCGGCCTAGTGAATTAAGTTGTTTTTTTTGTCTGACTCCAGCTGCTGTGAGAGGCAGCAAAACATCCTATAATTTTATAGTTATAATCTACTAATAAAACTCTCCATGATATATTAACAGTGGCTTCTGCCTCAAAACCAGCCACAGCTCAGCCCTGACCAGAGTGACCGTCCACTACTGATCAATCAACGGATTGCAGTGTTCACAGCTCCACCTTTTAGTACCAGATCTGTGTGCTATATACCCCAACAGAAGGGGTACCAAAAACGGTAAAGGTAAAGAACAGTTCCATTGGTACCATCCACAACTTTTCGTTGTGGAAACGGAAAAAAAGCGTACCGAACTGAACCGTACCGTACTGCTTGATGGAAACACAGCTTAAGGTCCTGGGTGAGAGTCCAGGGTTTGTTGGACCCATCCACCTCCCCTCCTACCCACCCTGTACGGACTTTCCTGCTCCTTTTATTACGCCGTTACCAGCAGTGTTTCAACCTGACCCCATCCAGCAGCCTATCGTACCGCCCAGACAGGTGCCATCTGGCTGACCAGCGGTGTATCATAAAAACACCAAAGGTTACAGCCAGCCATGTTACATACTGATACTGCCAGGCAGCGCATCATACTGACATGATAGGTGGCTTTGGCATCAGGTGTCATGTCTGATGCTGAAATCATTGACAAAGTAGTGGTATTCGACAACTTTGGAATGAGAACATGCTGGAAGGGGAGGTCATAATCTCTGATGAAGTTGTTCCTCACATGAACTGTTTGCATAAGTTTAGCATATGTATTCAAAAGCCTGGCTGGCAAATGGTCTATATCTATCACTATCATAATCACTGAAGACAGCATCTTTTTTTATTTTGAGGGACAACTGTAAGGTTGTATGCATTGTCTGGACCATCACCAAGATCCCACATATCCAAAACTTCACTCAAAGTGAACCTGAAATAAAGAAAAGAAGAGTAGAAAGTTAGGTACAACAAGAACAATGGATAAAGACATGTACATTTAGAAGGTCACTATTGTTGCGGTCAACATGTTCACTAGTTCTATGCCCCCACTGAACAAAGTTGGGTAACTGCAAATGCATATATCAATGCTAGACACTTTGAAAATAATGCATACCAAAAATCTCTGTCCTATCTTTATGCTAACATACATTACTAACCTTTTGATTGGGAGCTTTTATGTAGCAATCCTCTTCTCATCGTCCAACCAGGAAGTAAACAGCTCTAGTCATGAGACAATTCACACGAAACATCTGACGCTGCACATATTTCATTGAGACCCTTTATTATTTCAGTATTTGCTGGAAATGCATTTATAGATCATTCAGTAACATTTTGAAAGCCTTGTAACTGAAAAAAAAAACAAATATTCCGGTCAGCATTGTGATGGGATTAAGTTTAAGCAGCAAAACTAAAAACCATAGTTACAATCTTGACAGAGGAAACAGAACTTAACTTTTGTCTCCTGATATAATCAGTGAAGTTACACTGCTCCTTGTGTGTAAATACGCACAGCATCTCTCTTAATGTGGAGTCAGACAGCAGCTCTGCAACTCTGCTCTGACCTCTGCCTACGTTCACATTTTATGCGCCATTCATATTTTCCTCATTAATGATGTATTATTTCATCCACCTACAACCCATCAGCTTGTTCCTGTGTGACAAGCAGAGTGTAAGCATGTTGTGAACCCACCTATGTAGGTGCATCTTACTGACTGAATAATGTACCTTTAGATTGCAAGGAAAATACTGCACCATTCTGGATTTGGACCAGGCTTTTGTTGGTCAATGGCACAATCACTTTGTGCTGACTCAAAATAGCAACAGGCCAACAACGTCCCTGACTACACCTCATTTTAAGCCTATACTTCCGTCCAAAGTACATTTGCTACTTACACAATGTGGGCGCTGGCCATTAACATGACAACTGCACTGGTCTGAAACTACTAATGAGATTTGCTGCGCCGTGCTGGGTGCAAGATAAAGCCTGCTGAGTGCTTAACTCTTAATAAGTAATACTTAAATATGTTTTTTTTTACTTTGACTGTAATTCCTTAGTAGTGAATATTCAATGATAGAAATACTTCAGATTTGGAGACTTTTTTTTAAAAGAGACTTAAAAGGACAATAACATAATTTCTACTTCTTGCATTTCTAGTATGGTATTAAAAACATAATAGTTAGCTGCTGAGAGCAGCAGTAATAAAAATGACTTACTGCTTCCTGAGGCAGTGGTCACAACTACTGCAAATCATACAAACGGCACACACCCAAGTAAATATAAACTTATCTTTACAAACATACACTGTGTCCTTTTTGCTCTCAGAGAGGGAGCACTGGATTTCATTTACATGCAAATAGATGTTTGGCCTGTATATTTGATGTTAGCAACATACTTTCTGAGGTGACAAATGTCTGTATCTCGGCACTAATGAAGAGGGTTTTTGTCTGCAGGTCACAGACTCAGCTGAAGACAAACCCACTCAAAGCTTAAAAGACCATAACCTTACCCGAAACATAACCCTCTGTTAATGGTGCACGTGTTTGTGTGGGAGTGTTCTGTGGGAACTCTGCAAACTACAAATACAAATATTTCATTGATTACGTTTATGTGTCTTCTTCCTTAATACCTGCTCTCTCTCATTTACAGTTAACTTACCTTCAGTGCCCATTGTCTCCCTCTAGTGCCAGGAGGCGGAGCTGCTGAAGCACCTGGCAGAGAAAAGGGAGCACGAGCGCGAAGTGATCCAAAAGGCCTTCGAGGAGAACAATAACTTCATCAAGAACGCCAAGGAGAAACTTGAGCAGAAGATGGAGGCCAACAAGGAGAACAGGGAGGCCCTGCTGGCTGCCATGCTGGAGAGGCTGCAGGAGAAGGTACTGTTCAGCTCAAAGGATTATTTCTAATAGAGAGAGCTTGTAAGGGGGTTTTGTTCTCGAACTCAAGGTCTCACACTTTAAAATAATCCACCCATATACACTAAAAACAATTTTGGTTGACAGCTGATCCACAGCGATCCAACACATTCTCTTTCCAACCTCTTCACATATTGACGTTTGGTCATGGACTATCCACATTGGGATATGACGTGCAAGGTACCCTGGGTACGTTGGTTGTGGACGTTCTGGGACGCTGTGTCAACTTCAGCCTCTCTGTCTGTTATCAAAATACACTTCCATTTTCACAGCAAATTGACATTTTTTTTTCATTCACCAACAACGCACATGGTTCTGTTTAGCTAACTCATGCACGTGGTTGGGTTTAGTAAAAAAAAGAACAAGGTTTGGCTTTACAATCTTATGGGAAGTGAACACCAACCTCCCAAGTGAATGTCGGGGGTTGTTGGACCTATCCACCACCCGTCCCACCCACCCTACCTGGATTTTCACCCCCTTTGTTGTCCCACTGTGTTTCCCCCTGACGCCGCCAGGCGCCATTACACAAGGCAACCAGTCATGTATCATGCCAGCGTGAAAGGATGGCTTTTTCGCCAGTGTCAGCTGGACTTTAAGAAAAGCTGCTGTGAAATCAGGCATCAGGCCACAACAATGCCAAAAACAGTTCGCAAACTCCTATAAGGAGTGATAATAATGTACAAATGTAACGTATCCATGGTTTGCAAAAACGTAAATACCAACATTTCTTCTGCCAACTGGGATGTGCAAAATTGATTGTTGTGCACTAGCAGTGCAATCGAGGTGCTATTAAAGAAATAGCCCAACAATTTAAGAAATATGCTTATTGCAGGTCTGTACAACAGTTAGATGAGATGATCGATACCACTTTCTTGTCTGTGCAGTAAGCATGGAGCTAGAGCCGGAAGACAATTACTTTAGCTTAGCGTAGCGTCAATTTTCTATTTCTGTGTCTGTGTTTAAACAAACATGTTCCAGTGTCTTATGCTGGGTTCAGACTGTACAGTATCAGCACGATTATAACTGGACACGGCGTCGTAAAGGCGTCAGCTCAGATTTTGAACAACAATGAGTGTTATATGCGATAAACCATCGTTTTATCTTGTGTAGTGTGTCATAGTAGACAACAACCGACGCTGCATCTGGGATGCCTCATGATGTCCTGACAGAAAGTCTAGCATGGTTGATTTTCTTTTTTGTCCCCCATGACTTCTCCTATCACAGCCATCCCTTTGACCAATAGAAGCACAGAGCAATCTGCTGCTGTGGACAACTGTGTGGCAACAACATCCCAGCCTTTTTGATATTTCCTCTAGGGATGTTACCACGACAGAGTAAAAAGGGGAAAATCATGGCGTGAAACAGCAGAGAAACTGCCATCAAGCTTGCAAAGAATTTTGTTTCTTCATAATGGAGGATATAAAGAAATAAAATTTAAAAAAATAGTGGCGGGGCTTTTACTTATCACAAGTGTGTTATCACAGCAAGACTTTGTGAGTCCACAACTGCCGTGACATAGTGACGGTCGGAACAGACAAAATTGTTGTGTAGTCTGAACCAGGCATTTATTAGTCTGTTTAAGAGGTTTAGGTAGTTGTTGTTTTTTTTATTTGCGAGACAGCCAGGCTATCTGTTTTCTCAGTCTCCAATCCTTAGGCTTAGCTAGGCTAACTGCTTAAAAATCTGCCTACCAGCAACTCTAAAACTCACTAGCTACATTCCAACCTTTCCTGTAACCAGCACTGTTTTGCATTGTATGTTTTGTTGTGTGCAAATGAGGCAAGCCATCAGTGTCACATCAACTGGCTTTGCATTTCTATTTTAATATTGTTCACAAGCTTGATCAGTAATCATGAATATTAAATGAGGTGGAAAAGAGTTTTTTGCTCTCCCAACTCCCAATCATTCCCCTGTTCAAATCTGTAGGAGCAGTCCCTGCCTTGTTCTGCTGGCATCTCCCTCATTAATGCTAATATATTCATGAATGCTAATGACTCTGATGTTGCTATGTCTCTGTGTTTGTCTGGCAGGACAAACACGCAGAAGAAGTGAGGAAGAACAAGGAGATGAAGGAGGAAGCTTGCCGGTAGATGAGCAGAGAAGAAGAAGAGCGAGAAAGAGCAGGACTAGAGTTTTTTGAGTCGGTAAAAAAAAAGGAATGAAACAGTGCAGGGAAGAAAAAAAGAACTCAAAAGCAAATCGAACAAAAGGAAAAGCCGAGTTTTCATATTTGATGTATGCTGTAACGATTCTGAACAAGCTGTACAAAGTTTAGCCAACTCTTGGTGTTGAAATTTAAAAAATCTTTCTTTTTTTTTCTAAAGGAAAGTGGGTGGGGGTGGGGTGGCATCAAAACAAACATTTCACATTTTTCAAAGAGGGGCAGCAGTGGGTGTTTGGTGAGGAATGAAAGCTGCGCCAAAGCAGGAGGAGGTAACAATTTAAATCACAGCTCTCATTACTGCAGATACTTCAGTCAGGAAACAGGAAATTATAACTGCCTGCATATTTTTGCATTGTTGAGCAAGCTGTGCTTTTCTGGATAATCAGAAGTTGAATGCAGTAACACAGCTAATTACACCGTTTATATCCAATTAGACTGAAACTATGGAAAAGGGAGTTGTAACCTAAATTGTTACCAAGTCAAACATAAAAAATGTGAGATGTGGTTAAAAAAAATGGGCACGATGCAGTTAAGCAGCTGTATAGTCAGTCACAACCAACAACAATTCAAAGCTAAGACTCCCAGGCTTATTCAATCTCTGATTTACAGGATACTTACCAGTCAGTACACATAAACAGGACACAACACATGAGCTTCTGCTGTTTCCGGATTACAAATAAAAACTCATTTCCCTAGATTCACCACTCTCAAGTTAATTCTTCGCAGCACCATTTTTTGGGATTGTTGGGTCTGTCTGGGGACGTCTGCGTGAACTCAGTGAATCTCACAGTCTGAATATAAAATGAAGAATCAGGCTCTTGTTTCTTTCTACAGTGCTCTAGGGGAGTAAAAGAAAAAAAAAAGCTTGAAATGCAATGAAGCTCTGCTGGATTGTGCCGTTTTCAGGCTCTTTGTGAAACTTAAACTGTAGTGTAGTTGTAGATCAGTGACATGCGTTTAGATTTAGAGCACCGATTGCACTCTTATTTCATTAAGCACAACTCAAAAGCACATATGCACACATGAAAGACAGTGGATATATACAATATAACAACAATAACATCACAAGGAGGCAAGGTAGTGAGTGACAGCAGTTCAGAATTAGGAGAAATTTGGTTTTGAAGGGATGAGTTTGGGCTTTGTGGCTAACCAGCGGTCTCACTTTGCTTTGGCATGTGTCACTGTGCTCTGATTGTCAATTTATGATTATTTCGAGGGAATGTAAACCTAAATGATTAAACAGAAAGATGAAATTTGCTTGGTTTGTTGAGTCATACTGACTTGATTGAAATGTCAAAAATGTTTGCACTGTAAGCGGGGAGTCGTTATATGGGGTTTGTACTTGCTGTAGCTGTGTGTCGCTGTAAATCTTCAAGGCTGGATCGATTGTATCTATTTGGCATGGTCAGTAAAAACAGCTTGGCTGAACTCACACTTTGCTCTTGCTCTCATTATTTATCATTTGTTCACTGATAGCGCAGTGTTTTGCATGCACTTATAATCACACACATACCAACAGTAACTCCTTCAACCCGTATGACCAAACACATCCTGTGTGTCTAACCCCTAATACAACTATAGACTGTTAAAAACATGGATGACAGGTCTCCACCTCCTCCCACTGAACAAAAATGAAGCCATAGCAGAGTTGCGCTGGTGATGACATTTGGAGCCAAAGTCTTCCAGTAGCAATCTCTGCAATATCAAATTCCTGCCCATACACCCGTCTGACTAACTGTGAGAAGCACCATTGATTATGAGCACACTGAGTGGCGCATATTTGCCAATCATGACGTCAGACTTTGTAAGTATTTTGTTAAAACCAAACTTATCAGAAAAACGAACGCTTGAACACAAATCATTGGATAAGAACTACCTAAAATGACACAAAAAATATTTGAGACAAAAATAATTTATGTATACTTTGATTTGATGTAAGTACATTATGTTATGTAAATGTAACAGTAATGTAAAGTTTAAGTAAATATCTCAAAGACTTTCATTTAGGCTAAATAAATGTTAGTTAACTTACTAACACCACATGAAGTAACACAATGGTGCTTGAGCCTAAGGCCCACTGATGAAAGTACTGCAATATTTATGTATTTGCAGAATGAAGAACAGGGTTTCAAGGGTGACATTCACAGAAATTAATGCTGTATAAGTTACTGCTAATGCAAATGCAACATTTCCTCAGATCCCAGTTCATGGCTGCTCTTTAAAATGACAATAATTTGTTTGGCTGGCCCCAAAACAGAACTCTGTAACCTGTAGTATTAAACCTTACCCTGGGTCTTGCATTTCAGGTGTGCTCTTTTTATCAAAGGGTTGAGTCACACTGAATTGCTACTCCTTGAGCCTTTTGCTATAAACCAAGAGTGCCATCTCGTGGGCTCAGAAAAATCTAAAAAAGGTTCTTAAAAAGGTTCATCTGGCTTGATTTGACTATCACTAGTCTGTACAAAGTTTTGACTAAGAGTCTTTGACCTTAAACTATCGTGGGTTTTCCCTAACCCAAACCCCTAACCCCTAAGCCTGTAGGCATTATGCACCCCTATATGAGATTACTTTTCTTTGCTCCATAAATCAAAGCCATGAAACATTATAATATGATCATAATACATTCCACAAATATGCATAAGCATGATATAAAGTTAAACACATGAATATATGGAGTTAACTTTTACTGGAAGCTAATGAGTTAATATGGGACATATAATTTTAGTCACTGCATGTAAATATCATAACATAAATATCTTTTAAGAAATAAACTACACAATCTAGAAATCTATGCCCCATTGTACAAAATATACAATAATTATTCACAGCCCAACTACACATCAAAATTGGGTTAAAAACTTTAATAAAGCATTTTCATATTGTTTACAATAAACTAAGAACAGAGTAAAATGTGATTCAAATTAACCATGATACATAAGAGAAATAAGATAAGACAAATATATATATTAAAAAAACATACAAAAATTTCAGCATATAAAAATATGTATTTCCATCAACAGGCCTTTCATGACTCAGTTGCCCTGAGAAAATGACACATGGTTAATGTGTCTGCCAAACACCTGACAGGTTAAAACTGCAGTAAGAATTTTCCACCACTAGGGGTCAGAAAGAAACACAGGTCTTTGCAGTTTGCTGTGGCACAGCAATATATGTGTGTAGAATACATTACACAGTTATTTGATTCAGTGATAACTTAAGACAATATTGCTTCACACGTTTGAGTAATAAAGTGATAAAAGCAACATGTATAGAATGATGACACAGCTGCGAACATGAGAAGTGTCCTCTGTGTTACTGCTGTGGGACAACACTGGGCAGCACACAGGTACAGCCCACTGTGATCAACTCTGTCCCCAGTCTGAAGTCATACTTCATCCTCCTCTTCCTCCGTCCTTTCTTAACGGGCTGTTGTCTTTGGACTCTACATATATACAGATGAGATCATTATAATCTTACAGTGTTAAATGAAATCAAACTGGACTGTAGTGGATGTGACTACAAAAGACAGGGAAATGACATTAGCAAGTGTTACAGGGAAGTCAGTCTAACACAGCTCAGTGAGTTTCTGTTCAGTACAATACAATAAATGCAACATCTGTTAAAAATATCAAATTATTTATACAGTTTTCACTCTGTATAGAGCAATGACAGGTCAGTCAGAAAGAGAAAACAGAAAGCTATTACTGTCTTTGAAATAAACATTTAGAAGGGGCTGGGGATTTTAGCCATGCATAGCATTCCAGAGCATTTCAGTTTGAAGTCTTAAGGCAGTGCAGACTGTAACCTCAGTGTTTGACAGTGGATGATTAACTCCAGATTACTTTTAGTTTTCACATTCCACCACTTCAAGCCATAATAAAAGGGACATTTTCCAACTGATCTATCAACTATTCATCCTACTATATGTAGCTTTACTCAATAAGGAATACCTAAAAATACTATTTTCTCTGTTCTTACAAAGAAAAAGTTTTAGTTTTTTTGTCAGGTTATGTATTTCAGTTACTTAAGTTAAGTAATTCTAACATAAGCCAGAAAAATACAATTTATATAATTAAAACTGAGATGCAGAAAATGTGAGGATTTATTTAACTATAGCCTATAGAATTTACCAAGTTCATTTTAATAAAGTTAATGTAACAACTGTCAGTTAATTCTTTGATTGAAATTCATCATATTTGAAACACACAAAATTTATTAACAGTACTTACATAAACTTTATTAAAGTGAATTAGGTAAATTCTATGAGCAATAGACAAATGAATCCCATAGTCAATTCATCTTAGTTTTATTTGATTTAATTATATAAATGGTACTTATCTGGTTTATTTTAAAAATACTTGACTCATATCAATGGAATTTTTACACGTAATTGAAATATAGACCAAATAATTTATTTTACTGTTAACTGTACATGTACATGAATAATATTCCACTTGGAAAACAGTACATTTATACCCAAGTTTGCACTAGTATGTATTAAAATCCCGGCAATAAAAACTGATTATTATTTATGTAGTGCCTCTGCATCAGTTTAAAATATCCTCTGCCCAGCAGCTTGATTCAACAGGAAATGCATCAGTTTAAAAGAGAAAATGCTCTCCAAATTACATTCACTTGACCTGGTTGACCTGAGCCCACTCAATGAACTTGTGTATTCTTGAAGCATAAGAATAATTACAGCACTGTAACTTGCATTAGAAACAAAAGCAGAAGCCAAAATGACAACTGCAGTAGCTCACCTGTGGAGGACCAGCACCTGGTAGTAGATAGGTTTGGCCTGCAGGGCTACATCCTCACCTCCCCCCTGCAAGCTAAGACAGCCAGAGGTCAGGCACTGAGCATGAGAAATCCGCCGAGGCAACCGAGATTCCACATAGGAGTCTCTGGAGAGGGAGAAAACCAGTATTTATATTTGGGATTCCAGGCTTTATGAGTTTCAAAGCTGTTAACTGGATGAATCGTGGAACGATGAAAAGTGGTTTTGGCACTAATTGGAGTAAAGCAATGCAGTAAAGCAAGAAAATTGAAGGGCTCTCAGACATCCGCGATCCCTCACCTGTACGTCCATGGTGACAGAGACATATTAGCGATGGTAGAGGCAGACATGCTGGCAATCTGGGACTGCACTGAGGAATCCAGGATCAGTCTCACTGTCTTGCCCTTCAATTTGATACCCTTACCCGACTTCAAGGAAAGTGCCTGGCCTTTCCTTGCACCGTGCAACAGCGTGACAAGGCCCAGCACCAGGAGAGTTCTCAACACCTGAACACAAGAACACCAGTAAGTGCTTTATCTGTTAGAAGACCTGAGAAATCAACGGCAGCTGAAAAGAAAATGAGATTACTGTGTGAATGCTTGGGTGATATAGAACACACAGTTCTCAAGGACAGAAGAGTCTTATATGATTTGCTATACAATGTTATGACCAACATTAAGTTTGGAGTCAAAAGTCAAATGATACAGTAACTTTTTATAAAATGTGCTCACATCCAGCAGAACATGTCACAATATGTCATATAAAAAATAAAAGTAATCTCATGATGATACGACTAAAGATAAGCACTCACCAGCAGCATGATTGTGTCGTGTCCCCTGCAGAGCCCAGCTTACTCTGTGGAGCGCTGCTCTGCTGTCTTGTTATGTCTACATTCTCTCTGTGTTTATACGCAGGCAGAGCGTGCTGGTGTGTGTTGGCAAGATCCGCAGTGCATTTCCGTTATGACTGTCACTGATTTTAAAGATACACATTTTGATCTGGAGATAAAGCTTTGTCTCTTTGGTGTCAGCATTTCTTTATTGCCTATGCCTATCAACATCCCCATCACTTTTTCTTCTCTATCTATGTATGCAGTTCATGATCTCAATCCTCAGCTTATGCTGATCTTTTTTGTTTGGTTGGTTGTTTTTTGTTTTGTTTTTGGGTTTTTTTGTACTGTGCATTGTTCTCTTTACTTGCCCTCATTTTGATCTGTCATAATTAACCTTTTGAAAAATGGACCTCCTGCAGGTGGCCACAGGAGATGGTTGTTTGCATGATCCTGTTTAAATGTAACTAGCTATAACTGTAATAGCTGGAACATTCATTCTTTTAGCATTAGACAGCTAGGCCTACTTTCTTCCCTGTCATCGCGTCATGACCTCACCTTACCTGCCGTGCAAACATAGTGTTTTGCGGTAATTATGCTGGTATTTCTCTGTAATGGCCAAGGGACATTGTTTGCATACTCTTGTGTGTGTGTGTGTGTGTGTGTGTGTGTGTGTGTGTGTGTGTGTGTGTGTGTATATATATATGTATATATATAATAAAAACCACAAATGGCTTCTGTCCTTCATGTCGTCACATTGTACAATATTAATGACGCCACTGCACCACCTTGCCTGTGGTGCAAAACTGTGTTGTTTCACATGGTTTT